ATGAGAAGGCGCCCGCCAACGCAGGCGGTGGGGCCGCGGATGGTTCTTTTGGGTATGGGAATCCCAGCTTCTAAAATGATGCACTGCGCGCCATAAATACCTCTCCAAGGGCATGGCCCACTTCTTTCCTATTCGTATAAGAAACAACTATGTGTGTACAGCATATGCAATGGACCTTTCCCTCCCCCTTCTGCCTCCTACATCCCAAGACGCTTGTCCATGCGTCTGAGCGTATCCTACACTCCGTCTATCCCTTTCCCAACTTTCCCATGCGTGTTTGCGATGATCCTATGATCTCCCCCGATACAGCCAACTCCCACTTTTGCCTCCTTCAACTGCTCTTTGGAAGTTTGACACTTCTTTGCCCCGATACACCCCTTTCATGCTCTCACATCCCCCCTCGCCATGCCTGCCTATAACTCTGGTTGGCTCGCGTTTCGTCCAAGCGTCTCAGCATCGCGCGGAACCGGGTACTATTTGGGGGTCAGACTTACTTTTGGACGGCAAACCAGACCTGAGCCGTATAATACACCGTACTCTTTCGATTTGCTGCCATCTTAAGGTGCTGTGTTCGAGTCTACTGTCGTCTCTGAGTCCACCTATACGGCGATTTGGTCTCTATCCGGCGGCCGGGCCGCCTACACAGCTCCATCGTAAGCGTGCTCTTGGTAGACGGGGGGGGGCGACGAAGCCCATGTCTCCAGCGAGGCTGCGTGCGGCTTATCCCCTCCCCCAGGGTGTCCTCCTTCCCACTCTCCTTCCTCTCCCCCCCTCTTTCCCCCCCCGTGATCCCCGGTACCCACCAGACGTGCCCCTCCGGGCACAGGATGGGCCGATGGTAGGTAGGAGTGATGGGGCTGCTGCGACGACAGCTGTGGCACCTCCTCCCGGTCAGGAAAGGTCTGCTGGCGGTAGGCATTGCCATGAAAAGCGTGCCCTTGGGACGGTGGGCGTGGCGGAAATTTTGAGGGGTACGGGGGAGAGGCGTATTGTTGGAGGTACGAGGCGTGCTCGGCCGGTCGGTCAAGCGGCCTGTGTGCAGTGGGATGTGGGGCATAGTACTTGTGGTGTTGGTGCCGGGGGGGTGGGTGCACCGGTTGCTGCGGTCCCTGTGCGTCTTGGTGGGAGTACTGCTGCTGCTGCTGCTGCTGTTGCTGCTGCTGC